ATAAAGGTCTTTAATCTGATTTCTCGAAGTTTGTGTAAACTTTGATTTCTTAGAAATTCAATTTATTCACCTGTTGAATGCATTCTGCTGAATCAGGCCTATGATGATACCTCCTAAAGATTATATTTATAAAATTTTTAGTAACTATGAAAGTTGAATTTGCGGTCTTAATATATTATATTAATCAGATTATATTATATTACGTAAAATCTAAAAGCTCTTTGATTTTTTATTTAATAAGATCTAATTAAAAGAAAGAAAGAAAATCAAAGTTTGTTAATAAATTCTATAAGTCGCTGGACAATAATAAATGGAGAAAAGAAAATGGATATATGATGTATGTTGGCTAAGAAAACATTAAAATTGCATTAATCAAACTCTTTACATCGGGGCGGCGGTTATATGCAAGCCCATTTTTTTATTAGTTCAAGACCTCCAACATAAAAATACTAATTTACCCTTAATGAAAATCAAATAAAAAACACAAAGCATTAAAAAATAAAAAATAAACATTTCTTTTGTGCAAGACCAAATAAAATACATAAATCCAAAAACCCCTCTTCCTTATTTCACGACTTAAAACTCTCCTCCTTCCCTTTCTTCTTCACAAACCCACCAAGAAATCCTACACACCAAAGTTATCAAATACATACCAAACATTCACGATGGAATCAGAAAACAATGATATGGTGGTTTACGAGGGTGGAGAACACAATGAAATATGTTTTAACCGCTTATTTTTACTTTTGAGTCGTTTTTTTTTGTTGCGAAAAAAATTCGACGATACCAAAAATCGGTCTGCAAATACCGATTTTTGTTACTAAAGTCGGTAACCACATTCCGATTATTTTAATAAAAATCGGTACTTAAAAACCGATTTTTGTAGTAAAAATCGGCATGACAACACCGATTTGTTTTTGTATTATCGGTATTGTCATGCCGACTTGTACTACAAAATTCGGTTTTTAAATACCGATTTTATTATCTGTGTTTTTTTAAGACCGTTTTCTCATACTTTCGTGCATCAACCTAGGGGATTGATGGAGGATTATTCAAATGAATTATGTAACGAATAAATATTTGAGATACGAAAAGCTCTACTCGATTGGGTTAAAGGAGTGGTAGACGCCACCGAATGGTGATTAACATTTTCGTTTCAAATATTTAAAAAATATCAATTAACCAAATATATAATGTATTATTTAAAAAAAAATCAAAAAATATCGGTATTCGAAAACCGATTTTGTACTCAATAATCGACATTAGAACGCCGATTTTGACTTGTAAAGTCGACGTTGTGTCGCCGATGTGGTTAACAAAAATCGGTATTATGACGCCGATTTTCGTATACAAAATCGGTCTGGATAAACCGATTTGGGAAACCAACGAAAAAAAATAAAAAAACCAATTTCAATCTCAATGTTTTTTTCCAAAATCGGCCAAATCATTGCAACCCAACAAGAAATAAGCATAGATTAATGTTCATTCATACATATTTAGCATAGATTAATATTTGGCAGTCGTGAAAAAAATATTTTTTTTGGTTTGGTTTTTTTTTTTTTTTTTTTTTTTGGTCTTGAACAAATTAAAAATAAGATTTATTTGTATTTGAGTATTATTTGTGGATAAGGGTATATTTGTCATCTTTGGTCTTGATGTAATAAAATTAGATTAATTTACGGGCTTGAACTAATAAACTCCTTTATGTGGTTTTGAACTAATAAAAAAATGGGCTTGCATGTAACGGCCGCCTTACATCGGTGATGAAAATATAACAATAAGAAAACGCACTTCAACTGTATGTTCAAGCAGATAACGATTTATAAAAAAGAGCAAAGCTAATTACGCAAATTCTACAGACACAACCTCAACTGAG